AATCACTGTAGCCATTTTAAAACCAAATTAGATATAATATTTTCAGTGAGTGATTGATCTAACAGATCAATACTAAATCATGTCTTTTATTTTCCAAACGATCTCTTTATATATCACACAGTGCCAACTATACCGCATCAGTAGGTCTTTCGTAGTAATATGTGAGGAATAAATTACATCACCATATCAGATTATAGCATGAATTAGCGCTTTCAATAGTGCAGTGAATGAGTGCAGTCCAAGACAAAATATGCGTTAATATTATACCCGAGAACCATCGGTCAGTCTCTTTGAATGACGTAAGCTTATTCAGAGCTTATTCAAGTGGGTTTTCAGATTTCAGGAGTCGGTACGTTGGAGAGGGCTCCGCGACTTCTTCATGTCACACTCACTTACCATTCTGTCACACGTCTGACTTAGAATATTCTGGAGAGATATTAGAATATCAAACCAACTTATCCTACGTGTATATGCATGCTTTAACCGGTATGTTATTGATTAATTAGCTCGTAATACTAGTACAAAGTTCTCAATTAATTCCTGATATTTAATACAATCTTTATTATCAGCACGATAATTCTGACCACAACTGATACATTTTAACACAGTTGATGTATAGTCTTTTGAGTCATGTTTTCTCTACACGATATACTATATTGTTCGGATCTACATACTAACTTAACGTGGTTGAGTCTATAGCAGCTTGCGCGAGAATGAAAAAAATGCAATTTTGAAAATATGGTATGTTTTAGTTTTCTATTATTTAGTCCTACATAGTTAAACATGTTATTATGTCTGAATACATGGACTTATAGAGTAAAATCCCGCTTTCAAATGAGCCATGAACCAGTCGTGGGGATTTGATACTTTTTGAGTAGGCCGGAAAATACGAAAAGTTGTGAAATTTTACGCTTTGTGGTAAGAAGAGTAACCCTCAATAGAGTGTTTGGCCTCTAGCTTTTTAAAAAGGCCAGTTCAGAACGAGTTTTTGTAAGGTTAGTGATTATTTTACATGAAATTATTTTTCGAATGAAACATGAACAGGAATAAAATAAAATTTAAGCACGATAGTCTAGCTCGGATGAAGGCTCACTTAATAGTACACTGTCTAGCGAACACTCGAAGAGACGAAATTAAATAGAAGCAATTCTTCGATATTAAGTCCGATCTTTGTGTTGAGATCGCGTTTTCTATAATCTTCTTGTTGGTTGATGATGGTTCTCCTCAGCTCTGAAAAGCTTTTAATTTAAAGTAATCTCATTGTGCGCATCATTTTGTCAAGATAAACACTTTTTTATTTTCTAAGATTGTGTTAGTCTTATTGCCTGTGAATCTGGACAATAATATTGCAAATTCGATTCAAATGTAATCGACCTCAATTATGGAATGAGTTCCGCATCTGGTTACCGATCAGAATGTTAAAGATTCGAGTCCCTTGGAGGTTGATGGTACTTTTTGAGTTTTTTGCTTATTAAAGACAAATGACATTATTCATTTGTATTTCTTTCATATAGTAGTTGAACCCACTGTAAAATTTTGTCATAGAGACGAACATTCAGACCTCGTTTTTCTTTCATTTTTCCAAAGAAAAGGAGCCCGAACGTGTTTATCGGATCAAAATGGTCCCGAGAACATATATAAGCGAGTTTTTTTATCTTGATGAGAGAAAAAGTGCATCCAGACGGTCCTTTTTCCTAGATGAACGAAAGACGCATGCGGACGATGCTGCACAATTTTTAGACGAGTTCACGTGCGCTCTGACGATCGGAGTAAAAACGAGCGTGTTCAGACTATTTTTTTTGTACAATATTTGCATCTAGACTTATCTTTCAGACCAGAAAGTGCCTTGAACGTATCTAGACGCGCTCATTTTATACCCGTTCGATAATAAATGAAAGGTGGCTATACTAGCGTTTAAACTCGTTTTTTCATTTCTATCACAGAAAAACTCGTTTGGATCTGTCTGAAGAAAACACATTCTGTTTTTCAGCGCGTCTATAACGAAAAGCAAAATCGCATCTAGGCGCGCCAAATGTTCATTAATCTTTGCCACCCCAGGACGATGATTACGACGATCGTAAACGGTCGTAATACGTCATATTACGACGTCGTATTTTGGCGTCTACGATAGTATTTCGTTGTAATCTGGCGTGTTTCGTGGAGAAGTATTACGATGATCGTAATACTGTCATCGTATTTTGTCGTATTTCATCATAAACCATAGTTTACGACAGTCGTACTCCTTCTCCACGGTTCCTTTCGTCGTATTTTGACGTAAACTGCAGTTTACTGCCGTGTGAGTTCGATCTGGGACAGAATTTTTGCAAAACTTTTTTCCGATAAATATTCATTGTTTCTTCCAGGCATAACCTAGAAACTTTCTGAATTTTTTTCTCTTACCAGAGCTGTAGAAGACTCTTGAAGTTAAATCTACGACGAATTTAGATGACCCTGAGAGTCATCCGACTCCTGTGGGAAATACTCAATAGTGAAAGGACCTCTTTGTCGACTAATCAATCGAAATAGAGTGGACATAAAAGCATCTAGTTGCATTCAAAAAAGCTTTTTATTTTTGACGCGATAAACATTAGAAAATTGGAAACATCTCAATCATGATATGTGCGTCCGGGTTTTTCGAAAAAATTTTTTTCGCTCGAGGCCGAGAGACGCATCTGGACGGATTTTCTTTTCATCGAAATATATTTATAATTTATTAATATAATAGTTTGCATCCAGGTACATCTGAGTCCAAACGCGTCTAGACGGGATTTTTATATTTGAAGATGAAACAAACGCGCCTGAACGTTTGTCTCTGTGACTAAATTTTCCAGTGAGAAAAAAAAATATCTTTCTATTCGTCTAATACGAATTAATTCTTTCATAGTAACACTAACTTAGATGGACAAGTGACTCAACACACTTTTATTTCAAGACCAACTTCACGTTCATTTCATACAATGTACACATCGACGTAAAACATGAATATTCAATACGATAGCATAATCATGGCTAAAATGTTCTTTTTCATTACTCTTGGTCATCAGGCATAATGGTTCAAGTATTTAGAAGTGAAGGATGGTGTTGTTGATATTAGAAAATTTAAAGACAGATTAATTAGATGTAAATGGTATTTATTACATTCTTAGAAAGTTCGTGTACCACGCGACTAACATTTCCACGCCGATTTTTTAAAAAATTTACAAATATAAATGTTCATCAAGTAAAGCACACAAATAAAGATCATGAATGCGAAGATAAGCGTACCTTTTCTTTTTTACAAACACACCGTATATATATATTTACTTTCTCTTTTTAAGAAAACAAATACAGGTCGAACAAGTGAAAATGCATGAAAAAAATTATTGAAAGTTCAGTATAGTGAGTCAGAATATTATCGAATTTCCTCATTCTTCTGATTTGTTCTTCTCTTAGAATGGAAACACAAGAGACTGGTTGAATGATTTGAATTTATAATTATTTACAGCCTATTTTTAGTCTTTAGTATTATAATATTGAATTTTTTTAAAATAAAAAAGTCTAGAATGAAGTAAACGTTGGTATTTCGTAGAAGTTATGCATGAGTATCAAGCGGAGAAGATTAGAAACAATCGGAAGACATGAGTTCTTACATTATTTTTAGCCATGTGCAAAGGAAAGGAAATGATCTTGAATTACATTTGTTTCAGATTTGCTATTCAACCTGTTATCTGTTTCTGCAACTAGCCGATATTCTGTTTGAGAGCTGTTTTCTTGTACATACTTATATTTAGCATTTGAATGTAAAGAAATGACAAAATTGCTACATTTTTATTGAACAGGTGTATTGTGATTATTCGATTTATTTGTCTTCTTACGTTCAGTATATCCCTTTTCTTACATTTTATACGTAAGCTCAATTAAGGCTGAAGTTAAACCATTACCATCTACGTGCATTTATTTTAAGGTTGATTTCCTTCATTTATTTCCAATTATTCTGTTCTATTTATTTCTTTTTGGTCTCCTATTCAATCAAAGTTTGGTAAGTGTCGATCATCATCTTCGAATAAGATCCAGAAGTTAAACAATGCTTTCTCTATCCCAGGATTTTTCACATTTCGTCGCCTGCTTTGTTTGTTTAGTTTCTTTATTCGTATTTCCTTGCTCTTATACTTGATTACATAATTTATAGAACGTATGTATAATTTATGCTTTATCACCTCCACAGCTTTGGTTGATTTTACATTACCTGTTACTGATAACATTGCTATATCTTTAGAATATAAGTTATGCATTTACCTCTTACAGATTCTCTGATATTTGTCATCCATTGTCTGGCTGGATTATTTCATATTTTGTTTATATTGTCTACCGCTCATAAGAGTAAATACGACTTCTTATTCGTCATACAAAAAATATAAAATAATCTGTGCTCTATCTTTAGTTCGGTCCCTGGTGTTTGGCTCGTGTTTAATCTGGTTTACTTATTTTCCTGTAATGTAAGTATAATGCCTAATATTCAGTTATATATTAGTGAATCATACAGTCATTGCACTGTTTTTGAAAAATCGAAAAAATAAGATTATAAATAAAACGTTTTTAGTAGTACATTTGATAGTGCTATATTGATTGTCTACGAAAATAATATTTTCCCTACACTTGCTCAGGTCTTCACTATACCGCGTGGTGGTTTTCTAATAATAGGGTTTCAAGGAAGAAAATGGTATTTCTTTACAGAACGTAGTACGTGTCATACCGTCCGGTACATGATGACGGGTGAAATCGGATAGCGTGTGTTCTTTGCAATTTTATCATATTGATCGGCTCATTTATGTGTCGCTGAAGTTTAACCTCACCCTCGCACCATGTAAATTTTTGTACGTAATTGGTAGTGAAGATATAACAAATGGTTTTATAACTCTCGTGAGACATTTTGTGCAAAAATAATAGTTTCTACAACTGACTTTTTTTTCAGCCCATTGTACTACACTAAAAGTCAAAATTTTATATTTCATCGTAGTATTATGAGTAACGCTTGTAAGTACTGTTTAGTTTTCGTCTAATACAATACACTATGACTATTTTTATGGTTGTAGCAGTTGTTCCTTGGATAACAGCGCCGGTTAGATTGTCCTGTCGTTTTACGTCAGCTGGTATGATTGGACGAGCATATACAATAACAATTGATACGGGAGCGGACACACTTATATTAAATAAAACGGATTGTGAGGTGTTAGGGATGAAGCTGATTGGAAAAGGGATATATGACAGTGGACCGGCAACAGTGGAATATTCTACGTACGATGGAGGAGAAATTGAATTTCTTGAACGCATGGTACCAGTTCTAGTGCACGGTGTACAAAATTTAGAACGTTCGCTACTTGGAATACGTGCAATGCAAGTAGAAATTGACCACTATACTCATTCAATTATATATCCACCCATATACAACATGTAAGTAATATATAACACACATAATAACATATGTATTTTAGGTACAAGCGACTGTTGATGCTAGTCACTCTAGCAAATGGGCAGAGTCATCGATGCTAACATATACAATCCGTTTTTTCTATCATAGTTGGTAAAAAAGAAAGATTTGAGGATAATCCTCAGAGTTTCGCGACATTGCAATGACTCTTAAAGGATTTTAATCTATGCCGACGAGACAGAAGAAATTACAAAACCTTTACAATAACTTTCACTGCGAGAAGGTTTCGTAGCACAAAACTCTATTTCTTTTCGTCTGTTATATACCACAATATATCGGCTCAATAGTAAGAGACCACGTCATATAAACGAAAAATGTTCAGCTCCAATCTGGATGGATGCGAATTTATTTCTACCCGGGTTAAGCCTATGAAGGCCGCCAGCGTTTTCGATATAACTTTGACCAGGCGGGGGAAGTTTTAAGGAGCAACTTTAACTGACAACAAAAAAAAACGCATTTAAGTTTTTTTCTGAGGGAGTTTTTCCGGTTTAAATTTAATCTTTTTATGAACGGAGTAACTTTTTTTCTCAAGGGAGTAATTCATTTCAAACAAGGTAGGGAAATTTTCCCACCTAATCAAAAACGCTTAAGGCCGCTATAGTTTCGTAATAATTGTTTTTTTAAAAAAGTACAACAGGTGACGCTGGATGTGTAGTATTTTGCCTTACATACAAACTAAAGTCAGGAAGTTTGTAAAAACCTTTTACATACCTCTTTGTTTGATTACAAACGGTATTTAAATATCCTTGTGGCGTGATTTTTCTGGTAAATAACGAATAATATGTGATTCGCATCCAGCAGTAGCATATGTGATTCGCATCCAGTAGTAGCATATCATAATTATCACCTTTGTAGAGATGGAGTGTCTGTTATAATGTAAATGGGAATGAAAGTACAATACAATATGTACGATATAAAAAGCACATCAGTAGTCTGTTTTGTCTTCAAGATCTGGGATATATAACTAAGGTTGTTAATTACTAAACTTTTTAGGCCTACCAATCCTCCACGGGATATTCGTGTTAATATTATCGTGCACAACTATTTAGACCGAGACCTTCAAATTGAATCTCAAAATCCGTTAGCTGTAGTTCGGTTGAAAGCGTTTAGTGACATACTAGTTGATACAGGAGCTACAACTTTGACGCTGAATGATGCCGATTGCGTTGCTCTTGGACTAACGCATATGCGCTCTGGACAGTTAACGTTTGGTCCAACACCAATTCGCTTTAAAGCATATCGGCATGCTGACGTCGAATACAACGGAAAAGTCGTGACAACGGCAGTTTATGGTATACCACAGCTGAAGCAACCAATGCTCGGTATGTTAACATTAGATGATATGAAGGTTGATACAAGTTTACAAAATTCAACAATAAGTTATAGATCACAAACCAGTTCTTCTGAGACAAAAGAAAATTAGATCTATTTTTACGTTAACTTTGTTAAAAAGGAAAAATTTTCTTTTTGTTCAAATATTTCGTTATCATATAACTGCCTCATTTTAACGAAAAACTCTTTTACACGAAACTAAAAATTTATAAAAAACTTTTTAATTAGTGTCCTTCGCACACCCAACCTGTGTTGTCCACCACTATCAACCCATCAAGGATAGGTGAGTAGGAGACAACTTTTTATCCGAAGACATGAATGTAAAGAATCAATAACTATGCCGTAAAATCGAGATAGGTCATGCTGCAGATCATTTTTAAAAACAATTAACCTCGAAAGTGTGGTGGTCCGCACTCGACATATGATTCAGCAATACGGCCTAGATGAATGTAAATCGGCCTGGTCAAACGTTACGGAAGGAGGTTTTTTCAATTTCTTACGTCTAAATCTTTCGATCTACGAAGCCTGCAGCGGTGAAATTTTTACTGTCTATGTAACGAGTGAAGCCGTATTTCCACTAAAAATATCAACGGCCTAGGTCACGTGGATCAAAAGATAATCAAGAATTTATATACTGTTACGGAAGGAAAAAATAGAAGTGATTTCTAAGGCCTAGTAAAACTGAAGGAACTGCCTTTATAGTCAGGACTATCTGACTATCTATTTTTTTTTATTCTTTCTTTCTTCTGAAGTAAAAAATCAGACAGAATGATCATTACAGAAGCAGACTATTTTTTGTTCTATTCATTGCACTAGTTTTTTCCTTCGAGATTTACATTGAGGCATTCACAAACTATTTGTTCGATAGAATTTTTTCTCCGATTAACCGGTTAGCTTTCCTCCATCGACTCGTGCAGGTCTTGCAGCTTTTTCTTTTCTCTCCATCGCTTTATGCGCTCACCACCGGTCATGGCCATGTCTGAACAACTTTAATATCTAAAACAATGTACGGTTTACCTTTTGTAGCATGCTTGTTAAATATTAGGTTGTATAAAAAGATGTCTTCCGTAGATGAAAGCGAGAAAAAATGAACAACAATGAATTCAAACACGTTGCTTTTTGTTAAATTGACGAAGTCGGACGAATACTCAGTCCGAAGAAACGACTTTCGTAGCATATGTATGTATTGAAGAAAACGAAAGAGAAAAACAAAAAGAGAGAACGCATACGTCCCACTGCGATGAAATTAGAGTTCCATCGAGGAATGTAAATTCCTCTTTTCCTCGATGTCGTCGCATGCAGATATCTAAATGTGAGATATATCAACTTGTGCGGGCAGAACAATTTTTCTTCTTTTATTCAGTTATCTCTTATGGTTACAATGAAGCATCCTTTCCAATGGACGTGAAAATATAAATGAGTTCTCTATAGTTTATGCAAAAAATGAAAACAAAACAGCAGTTAAAGACAAATAATATACAGAAATACTCATTTTTGACTTTCTTGTATACAGTACAAAACAATAATTGTACTACCGGTAAATCTTATCATTTCAGTCAGAAATCATCTCGAAGACATACACTAGCCCACTGCAAGATTCTTGCCTCTTCCCATCTTAGTCAAAACTTTAAGTACAATAACGTAAAGACAGAAATCTGTAAAAAATAAATCACAAAAGATATTTATCTTATATGGAATAAGTTATTCTGCAGCCCGTGAAATTCTCTATCGAATGGTATGTGATACTTGAGGCTTGCGCTAAGTGAGAGAGATAAAATAATAAAAATACGCTGAGTAAAGTTCGTTGAACGAGAGAAAGATTTTGTTTTTGTTTGAAACACTAAACGCAGTAAGTAGCAGTACTAGTGGAAGGGAGATAAACAACTATTGTCGGTAAAAAAAAGAATAGACTCGGATGTTTTTTGAATAACGTTTGACAGAAAAGTGGTAGATGCTTGAAGTCTCCACTAATCGAAAGCTAGGATCTAACTGCTTCTTTTCACAATGAAAGTCTTTTTCAAAATCTTTCTCCAAAGCAGGTTTTTCAGGGGATCTTTGGAAAACCAGGTCAGTGCTCAAAAACTTGAAATACAAATGATTTGATTTTTTTTCATGGATAGGTAGTCCAAAGTGTCCTTGTCAAAATGGAAGTCAAGAGAAAGTCTGATCTTCGATTGCTTAGGCTGGGTAAAAAAATTACTTTCTGGTAAAAAAGTAATATGTCAATCAATAGTCATTGAAACCAATTGAGATTTTAATCACATATAGTTGACATCATGTGGAACATAATGTGAAAGTTTGAGCTCAAAAAACCTTGAGATGATTCAATTATCAATTTTAGTCAATATTAACCCTTTGGCTGCCGGCGACACATAAATGCGTCTAGCTGCAATTATTGCATGATCATAATAGCTAGAATAAATTTTAAAAAAGATTTGAATAGCTGAAAGAATTTCCGATCTCAGGTGGTGTATACAAAGGCTCCATCAAAACTCCTGAAATCAGGGTCTCTGGAAAACTCAAATCTC